AAATTGCAAATTGTGGGAATACGTACCTATGATTCCGCCTAATCGTGATTTTACTATTCTATGCCTTTTTGCATGCTTTAGTCAAGTGACCTTATAATTCCATCGTATTCTTGCTTATTTAGTTAATTACCAGTATGGGGGACGTTTAAAAGATATTTACACACACACGCGCGCGCATACTATGTGAGTGTGTGTCCGCGCGCACCATTGTGACAGAACTAGGTATGCGTTTAAAAGAGAATGCAATGGGTGAAGTTTAAACCTGGTGTGTAATATATATCCATTACTTGTGGTGGAATCCCGTGTAAGACAGCAAGCAACTTAATACATCCAGCAGGGCTAAGCTTTTCGCCTTAAGTCTGAACCAGCCATCCCTGCACAGTCAGTGGACTGAGTACCACTTACCATCTCACGGCTATAGCACAATGGGATAGCTTGCAGTTATGTCACACACAGATTAATTATAATGTAAAATCACACACTGTTTTATCTACACCATTCATTCACAACACTTCCAGCAACCCGGCACCTTGACACACTTTACCACCGTATACACTAGGCGCACGATCATCAGCTGTTCTTCAGCTGTATACACTTGCAGGTTACCTGGGGGTCACTGGAGCAGATATCACGTGAGAGGTAGGTATATGATGCAGTATAAATATCACGCATAGAGAAACACTTACTTTTATACCTATCAGTATTTGTTCTGTATGTTGTATGATCGGTGGGCCGCGTATTCGTCTTTAAGCAGAGGCAAACGAGCTGGTGTACATTTACGCTCCAACCTCGACTCTAATGCAAGAAACGACTGACTGAGTTTGGTTTTATGCCGTTTTTAGCAATATTCCAGCAATATCACGGCAGGGGACACCCGAAATGGGCTTCACTCATTGTACCCATGTGGGTATTCGAACCCGGGTCTTCGGCGTGACGAGCCAACGCTTTAACCAATAGGCTACCCCTCCGCCCCTGCACGAAACGAACGAACACAGAACCTATACGTTCTTCTCCATTGCACAACAATCAGCGTTGTCCCTGTTCACACACACACACACACTGGTTTCTTTGGGCTTGTGCACAGCTGAACATGTGGCGTCTTGTGCATGTTTCATGTCAACATATAGAATATATATGTCACGGGCTTATCCCATTGCACTACTAAATAGGTCACCTCATTTGAAAGCAGGGCCTAATGCTCAATTGCTGAAAGCGGACTGAAATCGCCTGTAGCAAAGGTGTTATGCACGTCTTCTGAAACGCACCTAGCAAACACGATTTGGCTCGGTACCAAGAGTGTTTTATAGTTCCGTATGTGGTATTTTTAGTGTCCTCGGGCTCGGGTTCCAACACAAATATAACTTCCACACAAGAGGTCATCACAAACACCACTTGCAGGTATCGGGCAAGTTTAATTCCGGAAATGTTACATGACATGCGCAGCCAAGGGAGATAATTCATTACGCTAGAAGCATTAGTTTCGTATTCACATACATAACAGTAATGCATTAAGGAGCTACGCTTCTATAACAAGTAGGATTTTTTTCGTTAAATTCATGTATTCACATAACAGGAGCAGGTTTAAATGGGTTTCATTCTTATTGATAACATGATGTGCGCCAAAAACGGACGAAAATGCTACTGTCAAAACGTAACTGTGAAATATCAGATTGCTACCAAGGAACATATTACACCCTTACACATTGTTTTCATGACTAATTGCTGTTATTCATAATTATGCATTGAACTTATGTGTTTTTTTATTTAGACGAATTCCCTGAGCAGATATTTCATCGATAACGTAATTTCCTTGGTGATGATCCTTAGTAACTAAATGTATGGAACTTGTCTTTAGAAGACAAAGAATATCGTTATTTTCACCTTCATTTAACTCAAGATATATTTATCAACCCCATATCATAATAATAATAATTAGTCCATTTATATTGCGCTAAATCCACACCGACAGCATGCTCATAGCGCAGACAAGATAGAATTTAGGAGTCATTTTAAAAACATAGAGAAAAGGTATGTCTTTAGGTTTGATTTGAAACATGTGACTGTTGGGCTTGTTCTAAGGTGAGCTGGTAGCTCATTCCAGTTGATTGCGGCCGCCACTTGAAAGGAACGAAAACCATAGGATTTCAACTTCCATTTTGGAATGTGAAGTAAGTTTTTGTCACTGGAGCGAAGCTGTCTGCATGGAAGATATGGTTTGAACAGTTCTTTGAGATAGGCTGGAGCAGTGCCTAGTATGCACTGGTAGACGAGGGTTAAAACTTTAAAGTTCACTCTAGCTCTTATGGGCAACCAGTGTAACTGTTTTAGAATAGGGGTCATGCTTGAGAACTTTGGTGCTTTGCTCACAATCCGTTCTGCAACATTTTCTATGCGTTGCAGACGGTTTAAGAGCTCTTGTGAGATGTTTAAATTCATTCATTCATTAATACACAACCAAATATCATGATACCAGGTGTTCGCAATAACATAAGTGTATTGTGCCAACAAACAAGAAAGAAATGTAATGTAAAATTAACCAGATTTGCAACTTAATGAAAAATACTGTAAAGTAATGTCAATGGTGGTACAAAACACAGTACAAAGTTAGATTACAGTGTAAGAAATGTAAATACTATAGCAGCGGTAATACGATTCAGATAAGTTAATATATTTACCATATTCACATTGCAGCAATGGTGGACAAGCTTTAGAAATACACCCAATAATATATGATTGTCACAGAACCGCTACACTTGATGTAATGTGACATCATGGAGGCTTGCCATGTCCACGTTGAAAAAACCACAAGAGAGACATCATTTAAAAACAGGAAGTAGTAATATGTTAGTCATGGAAGGAGCAAGAACGCTAGGAAATAGTTGCTTAAGTTTCAGGAAGGTATATATTGCTATGACTAGTTTTATTGGCGTATATATTTCTTTCAGAATATATGACAGAAGCATGGAAGTGTCAAGATCTAATGTTGACCAAGGGTATGCGTGGGTGATACTTGCAGCTGCCTTCACCTTACAGCTCATGGCTGGAATACTGGCTTACTCTCCTGGTGTCATGAACATTGCGGTGTTGGAGGAAATTGAAAATGATCTGACCAAGACTTCGTGGATCGGTTCGATTAACTTTGGAGCTTGCACTTTACTAGGTACATACGATCTGAATGAATGGAAACGCATTCTGACCTATCTGTTTTCAAAATCTTTATGTATCAGGGCTAGAATGATGGGTATTGTATAAGATGGTGATATTCATTTCATCTTTACAAAGTTGTTCCAAGGAAATCAATTTAAGCTCACCGAGGAATGCTGTAATTAAATTCAGTTGTTTGTCTGTGTTCCATTCGAGGGAATCACTTTAGTTAAATATTTAGCTTCCACACTGCAACTATGTGCACATGTGTCCCTTAGACTTGTAATGATTCGGAGATCATGGGTTCAGATATTCAGAGCACACTTCAAAGTACACTTAGACACCAATTATTCACGTTTTATGCATATTTGATAGCTGGGGCTACTTGATTAACATCTATCGGTCTTACAGACATATTGTCAACTCTTTACAGGTCCAGTTGCTGGCTTGGTACAATCCAAAGTTGGTTCCCGTATTACAGCTATGGTTGGTGGTGTTTTAACTCTTGTTGGCATGACGGTAGCTTCATTCTGCAAATCCGTATTGGGTCTGGTGCTAACGTATGGCCTTGTATCAGGTATGTTTGTTTGTTCGTTTCTTGTATAATGGCGCATTCAGCAATATTCCAGTTATATGGCGGCTTTATGTAAGTAATCGAGTGTGAACCAGACAATCCACTGCTCACATGCATGAGCATCGATCTACGCAGTTGGGATACGATGACATGTGTCAACCAAGTCAGCGGTGCACCCGATCCCGTTAGTCGCCTTTTTACGACACGCATGGGTTGCTGAATGCTAATTCTTACCGATATGTATCAGGTATGCAATCTGGCGGGGTTTGTTTAACTTCGCGTTTACATTTAACTTTCTGATGCAGTTTATGAAGGACTGTGCAAAAACAGTTTACATATGTTATTTGCAAATGAACATCACTACTTGGATCAAAGTTGAGTTGCGTGTGTCATTGATAATACTGGTAAATTCTAAGTAAGTATTATATAATGTTGATGAAAGGTTGTTGTCAGCAGCAAAAAATCCATATAAATGTTTCTCCCTGTATTGTCTCTGTAAACGTTAATGTGAAATTTGTGCGGAATACTAGTACATGTATTATGTTCAGTATGCTTGCATACACATTTATGATGGGTCTGTTTCCTCTCTTCGACAGGGTTTGGTATTTGTCTGGCCTGCAATGTAGTTGGCGTTGTAACAGGAAAGTACTTTTCAAAGAGGCAAGCAACAGCATTTGGTGTGTGCATTGCTGGTGGAGGCATGGGCCTCTTTGTTGCGGGACCTCTTGTCAGATATCTTCTTAGTCAGTACAACCTAAGTGGGGCGCTTCTTATCCTTGGTGCAATAGAATTCCACATGTGTGTTGTTTGGTGTTACCTTGAGACCACTCCAACAGTCTCAGACCTCACTTGTCTTCACGAAAGACTCCTCTTCAGATGACAAAACTGACAAGGATCACGATTGTGCGCAATACGAAAGTGGAAAAGATTTACACACGACACTGGAAAACGAGAGAAAGACTCATGAGATAGACAAACATCCAACACCTTCAGAAAATGAATCTGCTAGCTATCATCAGCAACCATCTGAGGGACACTACTAGCCATGTTCTAGAAGTATCAACTTCTGCAGATGATCCTCAATCCTACCATGCGTTTATCCCTTCACCACACACACACTGCAAGAAATCAAGAATAAAATCAAATGTATGCAGCGTTTTCAGCGGTTTTAGAGTCCTTAAGGAAACCAGATTTCTTATATATAACATGAGCATCATGTTGTGGACACTGGGGTGAATCAGCCGCTATTTTCCATCTTCCATATTATGCCCAACAAAAGGAAGTTCACCTAATCAAGCGGCAGCTCTTTTCACTGCAATGGGATTTGGAAGTGTCTTTTCAAGAGTAGTTGCAGGAATGATGGCCTCAGATTCGAAAATTCCATACATGATTCTCCAAGTAGGTTTTACTGGTATATCGGGAATGTTGCTTCTGTCGTTCCCTCTTTATTCCTACACATATAACACACAGCTGGTGTTTGGGATTCTGTATGGGACATACAGCCAAGGTGTAAACACTCTGGTGGGTCCTATTGTTCTTGACTTGGTTACACTGAAGGATGTCCCAGTGGCATATGGGTTTGTGTATTACTCGATGGGAGTTGGATACATACTCGGACCTCCATTGGCAAGTAAGTAAAATGACCAATCAAAACAGTGCAATTCCCCAAAGGGTGGCTTATAAAGACATTGATTAATTCGTGTTTCTGGTGGGTGCTTCGGATGGTGAAGGACATGTTTACCCTTGAAACAATACCTATTATCCTGATCACTGATGATTTTTCTTTACAATCGAGAAGCGTTCACAGCTACTTTTGTTTATTTGTGGCGCAAAAGAATCTGTTTGGGTAGATCTGCAACATTGGTTTATCACTGGCGTTATTTTTCACAACATTACATGCATTTCGTACATTTATGTCGAGCCAAATTTTAACATTTTAACTTCATGGACCTAACATTACTGCATTATAATCAAATACCCTCGAACAATATATAAAGAACAGAACTGTGGATGTGTGTCGAAATTAGGATCCCGTTCCTTTGACATTGTGCGCCATTTTATTTTGGTGGGGAGACCTACCCACTTGGGACGATTTGTAAGTAACGTCCTCATGATTTGTGTTTCATTTCAGGTTGGATTTTCAGACTGAGCATGGTTTATGATTTTACCTATGTATTTGCAGGTAAGACAATGTCAAAACATGACAGTTTTTAAAACTGAATTATATAAAAAATCTAATAATCTAACATTTACAGCTTTCTTGTTTTAAGAATGGTATACTTTAGTTAGTGTCTATTTCTTGTAAACAAAACAAAGCCTTGCCCCATCTGGCATATTTGTTTCTAATCAACCTAACCTAATTTTTAAACTTTATATAGATCGCTTAACGCCCAGAATTTACTGATGAGGTGTGAACGTTTACCCATTTCATACTAAAGTTTTTTCATGCATTGTCTTTATATGACTGCTAGCTGCGTTGGACTGAGATGTTATCTTACGTATACAGTGCTGTCCAGACTTAGGCTTTTCACACCTGTACTACCTTCATTTCAGGGACGTGCTTGATGGTCAGTTCGGTGTCTGCTGCGTTAGTAAACATTGTGAAAAGACGGTAGTTCAATTATTCTTCAACGAAAATGTGATGGTAACCCCCTTTCTAGGCTGTGGATTCAGTAGAGACCCTGTCTGATTGTTCAGAATGATCAGCGATCAGAAAGAATGACGTTTGTTGTTTATCACAAGATTCAACACAATCCAAGCTGCATCATATCATCAAGCTGTCACGGATGGTATTCGCACAAGTCTCCAAAAAGTTATTGCAAAACTTTCTGTATAACGCTGGCTAGTGAATAAGACCACTATTCATACTGTTTGTGTCATTTTTCACCTCGATGAGTTATGTACAAGAAAGAAAACACACGTTTGTGGTAGATACGTCTCAAAGTTTAAATATCCAAACACAGTATTTCGTGAATACATGTACAATGAAATAAAGTCCATTTCTGTGTCACACGATGCCAACAAACAACATGTGACCGATGCTGAATTAGATGACCTATGACACGATAATAACTGATCAAAGAATAGTCCATCACAAGGGATAACTATTTTAATTCATGAAGGATCTTTTTACTAATATCAGTTCTCATTTAATAATTGCATTTTTAAAAGATTGAGATTTGTTAAATGATTTGTAAATAGATAAATGATTAATGATTGGAAATTTGAATTAGTAACTCAGATTGTGAGTGGCTGTATCCTCAAGGGGGGTTAAGGTACTGTAAAATTATTGTCCTCCTGAGAGGGTACAGAAGTCCCAAAACATTCAAAGTAAATTTAAACTCTCCACTTTGTAATCGTAGTATATGTGTCTTTTTAATGTCTGGCTAGATTTGTCTAAATTGCTAACGGCTGAAAGGATGGTGTAAATCCAGCTAGGGCCCATGCAGGAAGCAAATGTACTGTAAGTCCCCATGGTCCCTAGTATGGTTATCTACCTTCAGTTGTTGGCAATCTATAGCCTGTGTTTATATTGTATTATCCACATAGTGCTATTACTTTTAATTTTCACACTAGTTTTAATAGTAATTGTGATATACTAGTTGTTTTACTGTCATTTGACGACAGGTGTTTTAAATATAGGCATAACCACTCATTTTTTATTAATAGGAATTTTTCAACCAAATTTTATGTGTTGCTAGAGTGAAGTTTCAATAACAACAAAACACTTTGATTTTCATACCCAATATTTTTATTAAAAAGTTATTAGATTTACAAGACACCCACCCTCAGAAAAGAAAAATGAATATCTTTTTTCAGCCATTTTTTTTGGTTAGGAACATTTTAAAAATATTTCTGCACTGAAGAAAAATATGTGTAAGTATTCTATCTCTGTATTGGTATCTTGTCTATCCATTTTAGTGATAATGGACATATATTTACCACATACAATATGAAAATCTGACCCTGTAAGTGTAGCCCCGTATAAATCGTTTTTAAACTTTTCACTACGTTTTCATGAATAATGTCTAAACATGAGTAAAACATCATCAAAATAAGCATACATAGTCATTGTTATGTGATAACACGTACTTTTATCTCCAAAAAGTGACAATAAAGTTTAAAAAGCATATGTTACAATGTTTATAAAAATATGCTCGACCTTGAAATTTGAAGGTCATGATATACAAATGTATGTAAATGTATTTTGAAGAATATCTAGAGTTCTACCTGTACAATTAACATGAAAGTTATGTGGGGCTAGAGCAAAGGATAAGCTATCAAAATACTTTGTTTTTAACACAGAAAAAAATAATAAAAAAGTTATTAGCATTCAAACACACCTGCTCCCTAAAAAAAATACTGCATTTCTTTCCAGCTATTTATTGGCTAGGGTATTTTCAAAAATAATTCTACACTTCTGAATAATACTTGTATGCATTGTAGTTGTTTACAGACAGACAGACAGGTTTATTCGGTAATTTAGGCCAGAGGCCCATAATACATACATTTGGCAAGAGTAAATACATACTGAGTAGAGCTAAGTAAAGTTTAGTATTGATTTGTTTTACAGACAATCATTCCTTCTACGGCGAACTTGTGAAAGATATTTACTCAATGATTTTTAAAATATGTATATTGTCTGATGACAACAATCGGATGAAGGTTTCAATTGTCGGTGGTTGAGTCAGATATATTGAAAAAACAATCAGATCTTTATTGGGAATATTTTGGACATATTAATAAAATATGGAGTTCATCTTCGATGTAATCAAGGCCAGCAGCATGACAAAAGAGGCAGAGACGTTCATTATATGGGGTGTTTGTATGACGGCCACATTCCACTGCGAGTCTGAAGTTACAGCACCGAAACTGAGTTATGATTTTACGTTGATTTGGTAGCAATTCACTGGTTAAATATGGTTCGACACTTAGAGATGATTTAAATTGTGAATAGTATTTACATTTGGGTGACGAAAATAGTGATGCATGCCAGTATTGAGTGAAGCAGTCATAGAATCTCTGTTTAAAAATTACCATGAATGTGGATATACAGCCTATGTCTTGAGATATCCATAAGAAACCAAATCCATATTGGAATAATATCAACCTAATATGAGAAGCCCATGTTGTTTTACCATTATCATCGAGAGTTTTCATCATTAGATATGCCTGATAAGGAAGTCTGTTTCGTGGAAGCTGTATCAGTCTGCACCAGTACTTGACTGCTCTTGAGATATATTGATACTGGAGGGGAGCTCTCCCACACTCTCCCAGAACCATGTTGTTGTTGGTAGTTTTACTAACTTTAAGAAATGACTTGCAAAATCTGGTGTGCACAGTTTCAATAATTTGACAGTAGCTTGTTCCCCATATTTCAGATCCGTAACAGAGTATTGGAGCAATCATAGAGTCAAATATCTTAAACAATTCATGATGGTTAATATATCCAAAACATTTTTGATAATTGTTGATAGAAAATATGGCCTTCCTCGCCTGAGAAGATAAACAGGTTTTCGCTTTTGTCCATGCTAATCTTGGAGTAAACACAATACCTAAGTATCTATACATATTAACAACTTCAATTTGTGTTCCATTTAAAAACCACTTCTCATAATCCCTGAGCGGACCTCCATTGCGAAATACCATTATTTTAGTCTTTTCAGGTTCACCTTCATTCCAGTTTCTGCACAAAACCTTTCAACAACATTAATTTTCCTTTGAAGCTGCATAGCACTGTCAGATACAGATGAAACATCATCAGCAAATAGGAGCGAATAAACATCCTTGGCTTGTGAAGATATAAAGATACCTCTTCCACCATCATTCTCCAGCATTTGTGATAGTTGATTTATAAAAATAATGAAAATTTGAGGGCTTAAAATACATCCTTGCCTTGTGCCAACATTACAGTTGAAATAAGATGATAATCCAGTGTCAGTTCTGACACAAGCACATAATGATGAGCACATCTTGATGATAAATTTCATAAATTTCCCCTTCACACCAATGCTCACAAGACTCCTAAACAATATTTGATGATTAATGCAGTCAAAAGCTTTGGTAAAGTCTATGAACAAACACCATGGTCTCTAGTATGGTGATCTAGCTTCAGTTGTTAGCGATCTATAGCCCATTTTTATATTGTGTTGTCCCCTCTAGTTAAAATGTTTTAGATTCAATTACTAGTTTTACATGTATATCTGTGATAATCCTAGTTATTTTACTGTCCTTCGTCGGCAGAATTTTTATCATTTCACTTAAATTGTTGATAGATTTATAACTTGCTTTAGTCACGATATGGCTGAAATATTGCCGATGTGACTTAAAATCTTAACTCACTCACTCACTATGAACAAACAATAGAATCTCCCTTCTTTTTGATAAATACTTGGTTGCCATAGCTTGTAATGTGAATATATGGTCAGTGGTTGAATACCCATGTCTAAAGCCAGCTTGGCACTCTGAGATTATGTTGTTGTCATCACACCATTGTTGTAATCTGTTATTGATTATGGAAGTAAGAATTTTTACACATTGAGTTGATCAAGGAAATACCTCTGAAATTGTTTGGGTCCAATTTGCTTCCAGATTTATGCAAGGGGCAGATGATACTCTTTCCCCAAGTCTCAGGGGAAAATGCCATCTTCAAATAACTTATTGAATAGTTTAGTTAATACTGGTGCAATATAACTTTTAGAAGCCTTGAAAAAGTCACCGGCTATGCCATCTGGTCCTGCTGATTTGCCACTCTTAATGTTTTGAAGACTAGAAAATACTTCATGTTCTGAAAAGGGATCATTCAACTGTGATGCCATGTTGTCATTTATATCCTCACATAATGTCTCTTCGATAACATTATTGGCAGATTCACAATATAAAAGGTTCTGAAAGTGATCATGCCATACATTTACAGGAATATTAGGAGTCTCTGAACGAGAAACTGATTTTGATTTTAATACACTCCAGAATTGTTTGGGGTCATTTCTTGAGTCACTAAGTTTTCTCCTTTGATCTTGAAAATATAAGTCTTTTTCAGTTGAAATGTACATTTGAAAAGTTTCTTTTGACATATATATGAATCAATGTTTTCACCCCTTGATCTGTGTGCTCTAAGAGCTGAGTATTTCTTTTGTTTGATATGCTCTAATTCGGAGTCCCACCAAGGGGCTGCTTGGAATACATGGAAGAGAATTATTGTAAACTCTCTTGAATTTGTCTGCTGCAGCCTGGTAGAGATCAGTTAATGCTTTGACACTTTCTTCCACATTTTCTTCAATCTGTTTATGTATTGTGTCATACTGCATCATAAACAATTCATGAAAATCAACTAAAAATATGTTGTACATTTCAGGGGACCAGTTGTATTTTATCCATGCCTCTTGATCCATAACACATGACTGGTTGGAATTGTTATCTTTACACCTTTGAGTTGAAGCTGCACCAGGAAGATCAATAGAACAATATAGAGGGAAATGGTTTGACTCGTCTCTTTCATGAATACCAAAAGAGCTGAAATAGGGGAATAGATCAGTACTTGCTAGGAAGTAATCCACAACGCTAGCACCATTATGGGTCACACAGGTGAAGTTGCCTTCCTTATCATCAAACAACCTTCCATTCAAAGTATGTAGACCATGTGTACAACACATTTCTGCAAGCGATACTCCATAGTTGTTATATCTGATATTGTCTTTCGTATTGCGTGGAGTTTGGAAATTATCACTTGGGTAGTCCTCACTGTTGTTTTGGACATAGTAGAGATCATCACAGGGAATATAATCTAAAAATGTTTTC